TATGGCCATCAGTGACCTCGAAGCGAGCAAATCTAAGCCCACCCGGCAATCTGGCTCCTCAAACCCTGCACCTTGAACCTGCCGCTGAGACTATGCAGGTCTGAAAAAGTACTTCGTGGATGACAAGTCCCCCAGCTCCTATGCCAGTTAGCAACACTATCACTAGCCTTTTGTAGCACGCTTGTATGCGCACGCCCCAGAACCACATGTCTGATCTATTCAGACCCTAAAGCCCCGATAAAAGCCTTTTACAAACAAGTACACAAAAAAGCTGACAGCTCCTTGTGATTGTAGCAAGCCTTATCCATTACAATTATGGTGACCCTTGCTCCTAAACCCTGCTTTATCGCATGAGGTCGAGGAGCGTGACACTTTCGCCGCCTGCCTGCTCATGCGGGGATGCCTGGACACGCCAAACTGTCGCCAAAACAAAATAGAGGGTTTCGGAGATATGGGAATCTATGGGGCATACAGCGTTTAGCCATGAGGGTTTATAGGGGTGAGGTTTTGGTTGTTTTTGCATCGGGGATATAGGGTGTAGGGTCTCGACTGCTCTGCAATGTATGGGGATCGTTAGCATCAATATCGTAATAGCACTGATCGAGGTTCCTTGACAAGATGCAAGTGTAGAAGCCCTCTCCGGACTTAGCCTCAGCGTCGCCGCGTCAGTGCCCCCCGCCCCCTCCCACAGCAGCCAAGCCAAGCCTCTCATCCGAGCAAATAGTCACGGGCATGGTGTTCGTTTGTACTTGTTCCAACAGCTTGTTTGGCTTGATGTTCGTTCGTAGTTTGTATCGACCGTTGTCATTCTATGCTCAGTTTCGGTCTCGGCTGGGTGCCTTGAAAGTCAGCCCGAGCATGTGCTTGATTGGCTTTCATTCAGGACTCTTATGCAAGGGACCGGATAAGCGTGCGGACGGGAATCGTGATCACCATCTTCGAGCGAGGGACAGGGGGGAACCCACACCCGGAACCACAGGGGACGGGGGGCGGGGGATGCCATGGGGTGGGGAGGGGAGGGGGGCCTGGCAGCACGGAACACCCAAACCCCGAAATCCGAAAACCCCGCAACCCTCAACCCTATATAACATAGAAGCTTACATAGCTACCAATATTTCTTCATTTGGATTCCTTAGTACAGTTGTATATGACGATAGGTGGCCCCCACAACCCTCTTCTAAGTCTTAAGGAGTTAAGACCCCTACACCCTGAAGCCCCTGCCTTTGCCAATTTGCGCGAGGTTTGTGCAGAAGGCCCAAGGCGGTGAGGCATCGACAAAAAGCCATCAGAGTGTGTGTGTGTGTGTGGATTTAGGGCCAGGTGTGCTGCGATAGTCTCCATCGTAGTTCCTTTTCTGGTTCGACCAGTTTTTATAAGTAGAACCCTACATTAAAATGTACCCCGAGAAGGGAACTGCCATGGAGATTATAGGTAGAAGGGATCTGCGGTGCTAGGGTTAAAGGATAGAGGCGTCAAGTAGCTTGATGGGGCTCGGGGGCAAGGGCTTCAAGATTCTGGATTTAGGAGTTCAAGGTTTCAGTCAGGCTCGAGAGAACTGGCCCAGATCGCCGGAATATTCCATAGGCCCCAGGCCACGTCAGCAGCATCCATGCCGTGTTTGATGGTAATTCCAGCGACGGGATATCCGGTTGCAGGGGTCGATGTCACGCAACCTCAGAGTTAGGAGTTGGGACGTTTCGGACTGCAAGATGTGAACTTCTCGCTTATGGTTGGGCTGTTGATAGGGGGAGATCGTGCAGTACTTCAGATACCCTAAACTATGGGAATTATCGTTATCACGGGCATTGCAAGCCTCTGTCCATCAACGGAATCAGCGGGAGCACTCCCTAAACAAACCCTCAAAACCAAGGCCCTAAACCCGAAACTCTAAAACTCTAAACCCAATAACTACAAGGCCTCAGATCGGAATGCTTGACCAAACCCTGGAATTTACATGTGATGTGTCAAGTGTAAGCCCAAAAAGGCAGGGCAGCAGGGCGTTCTTGCGAGCGAAAGTCCACTGCACTAAAAAAACCCTTAGCCGTAGCTTTCTAGGAAGTTGACTGTTTCCATTCACGTCTTCGGAACTCGCAATTATCTGCAGCTCCTGGGTCTAAAGCCCCATGAAGAAGCCCCAAAAAAAGAAACTACGACCTCACGTTGTGGCACTCCCGTAACCCTCAGTGACATCGCTCTCCCTGGCCAGGAGGAGGATGAAGGCACGCGGTGCTTCTGCATTCTAGGGGTTCAGGGTTTCTGAAACCCATCCCTTTTGAGGGCGTGATTGTCTTGAGGAGAAACCTTACCAGCCAGGGGTTCTAGGGTCCCTTATTTCCCCAGCCCACCAGTGCCAGGGTCTTAGCTTTGCCTCACTGCAGAACATATAGGTCCATAGGTTCAACCCACGCAAATGAAGCAACCTCGCGCTGTTTTGGTGAAGTACAGGTAGAGGCATAAGCTCTGATCATGACCCCCCAAGCCGAACTCCTAAATCTTAAGCCCCATAAGCCTGTGAGCTGCACTCTACACCCCTTCCCTAATCAGGTGCACTTGCTGTCCTTGCCTGGTTGCACGATCAAGTACTGTAGGCCTCTATATTACGTACGCCCTATACAAAACCACAATAAAACCTTCAGGAAACCCTCTAAGACCCTTTTTTATCCTACATAATTATACATACATATATATATATATAAATAAATAAGGGTGTTCGGACCCCCGACCCAAGATCCGGAAGAGCCCTAAGACCCGAAGCCTTTCCTTGCGGAGGCATCCTCCCAAGCGAGTCGGAAGTCGCAGGTTTCGCCGGCTCCGAAGTAGCGGAGGCGCCGCAACAAGTATTCGGCTTAAGGGATGAAGAGGTTCAGCGATTCAGATTTTGGGGTGCAGGGTATGGGATGAGGATTTAGGATGAGGATTCACGGGTTTAGGGTTGAAGATGTAGGGTATCGGTTTGGGAATTTAGGGTTTGGGGGGTTTCTGTTGCAGTGCATCGGATTTGGTCTTGAATGCAGAAGTTCAGAGCTAGGGCTGTTTTAACCTTCCGGAGTTGTGTTTTGGGGCGCTCGTGTCGGCCACATGGTTGTTGGGGCAATACAGTTTGGGTTCAGGGGTTTTGGGGCTAGCGTCTCAGGGTGTAACTTGCTTCTTTTTTTTTGATTTTCAGTTGAGAGGGCTTGGGTTTAGCGGTTTTGGGTGTAGGGCTTGCGACCTTGAATTCGGGGGATAGGTCAGGTGGTTACTAGTTGAGGTTTCGCCTTGGGCAGAGTCGGGTTTTGGGGTTTGTCGGTTCGGGTTGCAACACGGGTTTCCTTATCATATGTCAATCATATGGGCCCTTCTATTTCTCGTTGATATTCGGGCCTCTTTTTCCTGCGAGGAGACACTTGAGCGGGTGGTGTTCTTGCCCGTTGCGACCTGGTGTAGCTGCGTCCGAAAAAGGTTGCTTATCCCGCCCTGGGACGCTGTTTAGCCTACGCGGTGGTCGGATCCCTCAGCATAAGCTCAAAGCTTGTGCCTCAGGGTTTGGGAACAAGCGAGTATAGCACCCCAACGAGCGGCTCGATGTGTGTAGACTGGCTCGGTTTGAAGCCTTTGGGATATCTCCCCCTTTGGGGTTCCTCGCGCAGTGCTTGACCGCAGGAGGAGCAGGAGGAAGAGGACTCATCTCCGACTCACATGAGCAGTGTGTGAGGCGAAAAAGCGGTGTTGGCTTCGTGTGAGGACAAGAAGTATTTGCGGGTTGGGAAAGATAGCCCCAACATCATGTTTAAATCGGATTCCTTTTTGATGCAGATCAATCTCATGTTGGTCATTCAGCCATTCAGCTTAGCATACCCCCTAACCCATTGCAATTCATGCGACACCGTCCCCAGCAGCAGTACAGAGCGATTTGTACCACTAGGTAGTACACTATTGTGTTATACAGTTTGGTACAACCCCAAAGTCTCAATCTAACCAACCTAAAAGCACGAGTCAGTTGCTGTCACTCTTTGTGTTGAGGCCCATGTTATGGGTCTAGATCTCGGCCGGAAGAGCAGCTGAAGCTTAGGCCAATGCTCAAACTGTGAATCTTGGCTCTGTTTCGGCTCGAAAAACACAGGGCCACTTTGGCCCCCTGAGACGCCGGTTACGGGTTTAGGGCCCTATCATTCTGTGCCCAAGTGCAGGAACTCTTCGTCCCAGCCTTTCACACAAAAAAGCCCTACAAAACCCCACAGCACCAGACACAAGAGACCTTGAAATCCTTGTGAGTCTCCATGCAAAAACATCACCCAGGGTTTAGGGTTTAGGGTTTGGGGGACACCCCCCCAGAATTCACCGAGATGCTTTCCCATGGCGTTGCCCGCATTCTGGAGCGAGTGGGCCTGGCCAGTTCATGCACGAGCTGTCCCCAGGCATCCCTTCAAAGGGCCAACGCGGTGGACTTGAATCAAATATAGGGGCCTTAATAAAGAACTACCTATACTATTTTGGGGGTTCCTTGTTGTCATTTTTAGTATAATGGACCCCCAAACCTTATTCTAATTATTAATGGCCCCCTACATTATGAGCGTTGGTAGTTGTATCCCCTGCCTTTTTGCGGGCTTCGGGTGCAGGGCTTTGGGGTCCAGGTAAGGTGTAGGTGTTTGAGGGCTAATGAATTTGCAGACTTTCACACCGTTGTTTTGTCCGGTGGTTCTTCACAACTAAGTACATACGTCCTTGAACCAACCACGCACCCAGGCCCTGAATTGCGGTACCATCTTTGGATGATGACTGATGACTTTCATAGCCAGCGTCCGTGCGGGAGCCACTGGACGCCCAAGGGTGTGCCCTCGTGCCCTGGATTTCGGGTTTACCGGAGAGGGGTTCATGCTTTGTGCCCGTGAACATGACTCTCTACCAGACCCTCTCAAAAGATTGTGAGTCTGACCCCCGTCAGTCTGGACAGTCACTGCTGCCTTTCAACCCACGTATATCCGTACTATACACCACAAATGCCTAGTTTTATCATTCAGGCCCCTACATCTGGAGCCTTGCGGCCCGAAGCTTGCGAGGTGTGCAAATCAGCACACGAGGAGGTTCCAAGCTCAAGCCCGGTTTGAGATTCAGCGAGTCTTTTGCAGCTGGTTGCAGCAGGGTGCATAGCAGCTCTGCAGTGTTTTTGTTTAAGCCGTGTTGGCAGACAGATATTGTAAATTGCACATGTAGAGCACCACACGCAATGGATGCACGTTGTACATGTACTGTGCTATGTGCATGTGTATTATGTTGATCGTTACAGGGTTTGTCGGTAGATGTGTTTGGCTTAAGACGGTTGGCGCTGCAGGGTTGTGTTTGGAATGGGAACTTTCCAACCCAGGACCCATGGTCGTAGAGTCACGCGGCTTTGAGTCGCTCGCAAATTAAGGCAACCAAGCCTAATCGCCGCTCTTACTCGGCCTTTTGCAGGGTTTTGGGATGTCAGCTCTGATGAAATGCTTCAGGTCTTCCAGGAGGTTTAGTTTTTGTTGTCTGCTTCATGACACACACACACACCAAGAAGCAAAGCTGCTCTTAGCCCAAAAGTTTACAAGGCCATGAAACCCAAACCGTCCTAACCCCCAAGCCCGAAACCTAAGCCACTCTTCCCCCTCCCCCCATTCCCAAGCATGAGCTGAGAAGCCATGAGCCCTAAAGAAGGAAGCTGTAGAGCCTCTGGAGCCGAAAAAGCTTCAAAGTCTGCGCCAACCTCACGTGGCCCAAAGCCCGCGACGAAGTTCTGAAAGGGTTGAGGAGTTGGGGGCTTCAGCCTGCACTTGTTGATGAGGGGATTGAGGAGGAATTGAGGTTTCAAGGTCAAGAAGTACCTAAAGCCACAAGTTCTCAGAGGTCGTTGAGGTCGTCGACATCACCCCGGTCATTCCCCAGAAGCAGTCGGCTTCGGGTCCGGGCACTCAGAGGGTGCGCCTTTCAAAGATCCTTCCGTATCTCAATGCAAGGACTAGTCCATGCGTTATACAATTCTGTCATGGGATTCAAGAGGTATCTTATGGTATCGTGAGTTGCGCAGAATGTTGCTGTCTCTGGGTCGGTGGTTCCTATCTGCGTGCAGTCAGACCAGCACCACGAAATCCCCGCGGTCAAGTTTAGTATGGTCATCGCAGTAAACATTTAAACTTTAACACTTCGGGCTTCGAAGTTAGTTCCTTGGGGGAAGCCCAGCGCCTGGAACCCCTTTTAAAGCCCAGGACCCGACAGCCCTCCAAAAGCACCCCCCCAAAGCCCCCAAAAGCCCCGAAGACTGCAAAGCCCTGTGGCCCGAAGAGCCCCCGGAGCCGGCTGTCAAGCACACCCTGAATACCACAGTCCCCCCTCTTCCAGGCAAATTCTACGGCCGGTCGGTGCTGAACAGACTGCAGGGCTGCTGGTTCAGACAGGACACTTCTTTCAGGGCTGTTGGTTTAGATTGGGTCAACCCCTAGTTGCGGCGCCAGTCGCTCACTTATACTAAGGGCGCACAACATAGCTCTGCCTTGGTCTTGTGTAACAAGGCTAGTCAAGCACATCATCCATGAATTCGAGCAAAACAGTCCCAGACAAGGCTTGAATTCTCTCCAAGCCCTATGAGCCCATAAGCTTCAAGCCCCAGCCCCCGACTTCCTTAGTCCCCAAAGCTACTACCTGCTCCCTCGAGTCTCGAAGCTAAACCCCACCGAAAGCAGTTTTCGAAGCATCCTCAAGGATGGCCAGATGATCGCGCAGATCATCGACTCGCTGGTGATTTTCAGCAACAACTCTGTGGCGGTTCTGTGCCCCGGCATGAGGCGTCAGGCTTGTGGGTTCATTTTAGGCAGCAGTTTGGGGTTTTGAGGTTTAGGGTTTAGGGTTTTGGTTTAGGGTTTTAGAGCTTCAGAAGTCGGTTGCAACACTTACATTCCATTTGAAGCCAGAGGCTGGCTTGCGTTTTGGCTTGCGGCTCCAGGGGCCTAGGTTCTCAGCAAAGCATACAGGACGTTTGCCGAAAAGCTCATGATAAAGTATGGTTATTAATAAGCTCCCAAAGTCTAAGCCGTATACACAGGCGCCGTGAGTGTGACGCTCAGTTTCCGCTTCCCCTTTCCCAAAACTACTACCCTATACTGTACGCAGGAACGAACCTGCAACCTGACCTACATCTCACAAGGGAGTCCGGTACACGGCCGTGCCGAAACCTCAGGGCAATTACATGCCACCCTCAACAAAGACACACTATTTCTGAAGCCCTGATCTTATCGCAAAGTCGAAACTAAACCCTCTAAACTAAACCCTGCAGTGCCCTCACAGACCCTAAACCTTAAACCCCAAACTCAGGAAGCATGAACTGCTGGCTGAGGTCCCCTCGCAGCGAATCGCAGGTCTGCCTGTCGCTCGGAGGCAGGGCACACTCTGAGAGGGCTTCGGGTTCAGGGGTACATCGGAGAGTAGGGCCCTTTTAGGAGGCTCTTCAGGATTTCGGAATCCGATCTTGAGCTACAGTTTGGGGTTGAGGGTCTATAGGATTTTTGCTTCACCCGGAAGCTTCTAGCTCCTGAAGCTTCTGCCCGCGGCCTTTGCTGTCTAAGCTTCACACCTTGGCCTTTCAAAGCAACTCCAGGCGCCTAAGCCCTAGCCCTGCAAAGTCCCAGATCCCAGCTTCCAGTCGGTGCCGTTCAGGGGATCGGATGTTTGGCACCTTCATCGACGATGCGCAGGCGAGGACACAGCGGCCTTGAACCTTGTAGGGGCAGAGGAGGTAACGTTTAACCGTTTGGGGCTTATATCATCCTACCATAATAGAGAAGATTATCCTTTTTGGGGCTAGGGTACTCCGCGTGAAAGCTGCAGACCTTCGTCGTTGAATGCTTTCGGGTTTGATGCCCATACCCTAAGGGACCAAGTAGTCCTTATTTGTGGCTTCTGATACCCAAAAAGGCCCCAAAGTCTCATGATAAGGAGTACTTGGACCCTTGGGGACCATGCAACTGCAGCCCCTGAATCCTGCAAGCCCAAAGCGAGCAATTCTTGCATCGATTCGCTGGGCAGCAATCTTACAACTCCGAGACCCCGGGGCTGGTTCCAGGCCTCCCTTCGTTGGAGCGATGGCGATGTCTGGCTGCGGAAATGAGGCCTTCCCTGCCGGGGTTTATAGGGTTGTTGAACTCGGTGCGAGTCCCCACTGATACTTGGCTCTGCCAAGAAAGGGATAATCCAGAAACAGAATGTCCAATGAAGGAAAGAGTGTAGACAGACCCTGTCAGTCGATGATCAACCCCGGAAAGATCAGAAGCGCCCTGCGCGGATGTTTTCCTGCCAGTCCCACTGATCTGTCAAAGCTCAAAGGGCCATAGTGTCGCTCGGCGACGGCCACAACCCTCCCCTATACGGACCCTCGAGCCTGAGGGCGGGCACGACTTGACTTCGAAAGTGCACGAACATGTTCAACCTGACAGGTCCATTTTCACAAGGGTTTCGGGTTCTCCATGTGGAGAAGTGTACGTGAACCCGAAGCCCTCAGCCGGGTCCTTGGGGTTGAGGCATCAGGATCTATGACCTTTTCCAGGCCTCAGCGCACGCAGCTTCTAGAGGCCCTATATCTTCGAGTAGGGCTAAGGGGTGAGAATTTGGGGGAGTAGTGGGGTTCAGAGTTGATAGTTTAGTGAGTTCTCTCGGTGCGTGTTTCCTTCCTGCTGAGTCGTGGGAAGACCACAACAAGCATAATTCTACAAAAACCTCTGGTGTAGGTCAAGAGATGTTGCTTGGTTCAGGGGTACTTCTGTTGCTCCTGAAACCCATACAACGGAGCCCTCTTCTGCTCAGGATCTGCGGAGCACCCTGGGCCACCGAAGGTGGGTTTGCAAGCAGCGCGTAAAGACTGCGCGCTTTGAAAAGAGCTGGCGGGGGCTCAGGTCATTTGGAAGGGTTTGGAAGTCCAGGGTTGAGGCTTTCGCAGTTTCTTTTTTTTTGGGGGGGGGGACTTTTAGGGTTGGGTTTAGGCTGTCGAACTTTGGGCCCTGAGATTGAAGACTCACGGTTTGGGAGGCAAAGGCTGTAGGGTCAGCTGCAGCCATTCATTGGGGTTCAGTGTTGCAGTTCTGAACTAGGGCTAGGGTTCAGGGTTTACCGGTGCAGGGGTAGTTTTGCGTAGATTCCCTCTTGGAGCCCGCAGCTGCATGCCATCCAGCTATCCTTGCCGCGTGCATCCTCAAGGCCAAAATTTAAACCCCATAAAGCAAACCCCTAAAACCATAATTAACGTTTACTGGCCCGACTGGCCAAAGGTGACTCTTCTATAGATCCCAAATACGCGAGCCCGTTTTTGGTAGATATACAGACTGACGGAAAAGGGACCACAAGTGCTTGTTTCAAGTCCCGCTGAGTATAGTGTGAGAATGAGTTCCCAGCTTGCGCTCCGGCCTGCCTGGCGCGCACGATCGGAGGCCAATATTGCATTCGTTAGCAGTTTAGGGCCCAAGGCTTTTGAAGGGTGTAGGAGTTTAGGTTTCTGGGCTCAGTGATTGCTCCTCTGCGGGCAGTGATGTGGAGTAGTCGAGCGAAACGCTCCGTTGAAAACATCCAGGAAACACTACAGGCGCTCGACGTCTTCAAGACATGCCTCCAAGACTCTCCAACCTTTAAACTTTTTGGGGTCCGAAAAAATTACGCGGTAGTAATCTGAAAGTTTAACCGTTTAACCTTTTTTTGTCCCTGGCTTATTGGGGAAGTAAGTCTAAGACCCGTTAAGGCAAGCCCATCGAAAGCTCTCCCAGATTCAGGGTCATGTCGGGCTTCCCTTGTTTCAGTGGTGTCTTGGTTACCCCCCGGAACTCGGCTTGTCTGAACAGGCCCGGGTCATGGCCAGTGGCCGCGGCCGATGCTTCTGAGGTCGGGCAGGGGCCTTTTATCTTCTCGGGTTCAGCACTATTTGGGCTGGGATGGTATAGGTTTGATGATGTTGTATAAGTATTGGGAGCTTACTGTGGGATCTGCATATTATAGGGTGCAGTTATCTTTCAAGGATGTACAGATGCGGAGCTTCGACTTGTTCTGGCTATAATCTCTTCGTTCTAGCGGTCAGGTTTCGTGCTAGCCTCGCCCTTTCAAGGGTTCCGCGTCGAGTTTCAGTATACAAACCTTTAAATCTTGAGCTCTAAACCCTACAAACCCTGACCCCTGTCATTGTAAGCAAGGCAACAGATCCGGGAGTTTCTGAGAAGTTTGGGAGCGGAGAGATCCTTGGAGTCGAGAACCTCGCCTCCCCGCCCCCCCCTCCCCCCCGAATTTTCCGTAAACAGCTGCAGGCCATTGCCCAAAACCCCGTGCCAGGTCTCCTTTGCCGAACGAAGCTTCTTCCCGTAATCCTCCTGCTAAGCCCAAACTTCTCGGGCGAGGATCCTCTTCTGCCAGCTACCTTGGCTGTTAGCCGCCGACTGCAGCGGCGCCTTCGATGCGCCGGGCGCGCCGGCGCCAGGAGGGTGTTTTTGTGGGATTTGTGGGGTTTGTAGGTTCAGGGTTTAGGATGTAGTGGTGCAGACGGAGGTTATACGGGTTGGTGGCGGGTTTAGATATTTCTGCACCGTCAGTGGTTAGGACTGACGAGTTTCGCCAAATTCAGCAGCAACACCTAGAACCCTGAAGCCGTAAACCATCAAGGTGACTTCCACTCCAGCCATCCCCAGCCTTTCACTTACCGCCGAACCATCTCGGGCGGTCACCCTACCCTGCAACCCTACCCCCCAGCATCCACGCAGAAGCCTCCAAAGGGACAGGCAGAAGGTCGGGACGGGAGAGCGTGAGGCTCGGAGTCTCGGGCCTAGGTCGGGGAGGTCTCCCTCAGGCGCTTCAAGGGATCCCTTGGGGAAGAGCTTTGAACTGGTTTTTAGGCCGCCTTTGGGGTCTAAGCACCCTTGAGGTGTAGGCAGGACGCAATGAAGTACCCATGAGCTCACTCAACTCTAAACGTTGGTACCACTACACGCCGGTAAAACCATGGACCCTATAGCCCGATAAATCCTATAAGCCCTAGAAGCCCCTATACATGTCACACAGTAAACACACACTGAAGGACTGCCACTGCCATTTGCACGCCAAGTGGCGGCGAATGGCAGCGTCATTGCATTGCAGCAGGGAGCCATCCAGGCTCGCCGCGCTCACCCAACACCGTCATTCTCTACCGCGAAGCAAGAACTACCCTTTGCCCGCTTGGAAGCCCGAAGTCTTCCTCAGGATCCCCTTCCCAGCGGTTCCAGTCGGAGCCTGGCCTGCCATGATGTACACTGGGGTCGGGTTCCTCAGCTCCGGCGTGGATTCAAAATAAAAAGTGCGGCCTTATAAGGGCGTGGGAGCTCGATGTCTGGGATTTGAGGGAGTTCTAGGATTTGGGAGTTCGTGGTTTCCAGGGCTTGGGGTCTGAGGCTTTGAGGATGTATAGGCTTTCAATTGGGAGTTGGGGGTTTCGCAACTGTGCCTAAGGCCTAAGACTTGTTATGACATGTTATGACCTATTACTATCACCATTATTATGAGTATTATTACTAATATCATTACTATATCTATCTGTCTGTCTGTCTATCTATCACCGGGAAGTACTGTAGGACAGGATGTAGGGATTCAGTGAGAGTGGCTCTGGGTTTACAGGGTTTAGGGCTCCGCCTCCGGGTGCATGCCGAGCCTTGGGGAGTTTGGAGCCAATCTGCGGCCGCAAGGTTTTGAAGCCCTCGAAACCCTGAGCCCGGGACGTAAAGACTTGTACCCTATAGCTGCTAAAGCCGTAGCCAACTACAATGTGTTCCCCACCCCCCTCATCAATACATAATGGGCTAATTCTCGTGCGTCCCACCGCCTTCGCGTCCCTCCTCCGGCGTCCGCAATCTCCAGGCCTGGTTGGAACGGGGACCCTCCTCTGCGACGGGACGAGCTTCGAGGTCCCGAGAACAGGGGTCTAAGATGGTGCTTACAGTTTACAGCCTACCGGGGCTTATCGGACCTAGGACTTGGAATTAGCAGCTTCGGGTTGCATGTGGTGAGGGTGCGCAGGGACCGAAGCAGCGGTCAAGAGCTCCCTCTCCCAAACACACTAGAAGGATCGCAATGATGAGGGTACTGTGCTTCCGATCAGAGTTGAGAATCTGTTTCGTTGTCAGTCAACCCTAAACCCTAAACCCCTAAACCGCCTTAAACCCCTAAACCCTACACCCTAAACCCTAAACCCTAAACCCTAAACCCTAAACCCTACACCCTAAACTTCAGGGTTTGGCTTTCGGGGTCGGGGGGGTTTTAGGGGAGAAGGGCTGGGGGGACTCCATACCTCGTCGTTCTTTTGGGCCAGCCTTGGGGTCTAGAGGGTTTATAGGGTTTATAGGGTTTATAGGGTTCAGAGTTCAGGGTTTATAGGGTTTATAGGGTTTAGGGCTTACAGGGTTTATAGGGTTTATAGGGTTTATAGGGTTTAGGGATTAGGAGTTTAGGGGGAGTGTCCCTCGCACGCAGGTGTCCACTGTGGGCTGCGTGCGAAACGGATGCCCCTGGCCCCTTGGAAGCCAGACCATCCCTACCTAGGATTCAGGGCTCCATCCCACAAAAATTAGGGTTTGTACATCTTTTTACCAATATTTCGACTATAGTTTTACTGCTGTTATGTTGTTTCTGTTGTTACTATTATGTTGTTTCTGTTGTTAGTGTTTTTATGTTCACCCAGCTTGAAGGAGCACTTCAAACTGCACACTCAAGACCCCTAAATTAAACCAGTCCCAAGCACGAACAGTGCTCCCAAGGTAGCCGAAGCCTGAAACTCGAGTCTACCAGCATCGCCAAACCTCCAGCACTGGACCAAAGCTGCACAATTGCCCTAAACCTTACACCCCTAAACCCCCGAAGCCCTAAACCAATGATGTGGATGGACCAAGATGCATTAGCGCTATCTTTTCCAACCCTAGTCCTGGTACTACTCGGTAGCGGCAACGTTCACATCACGATTCTGTTCACCCTTCTTGCTCTGTAATAGAGGCAACATGCTTCTACAAGGACAGCCCAAACTCCAAAGCCCTGATCCATAAGCCATATAATCCCTTATCCCTGGTCATTATCTCTAGCCCGGAAAGATTTCCAAGATCGCCTGTAGGTTGCACA